CCTAGAGAAAATTGCAAAGGAGGATGTATGCGAATGATATTCAAGAAGAAATCCCTCAAGAAATCCCGAAGAAGAAAGAATGTGACATGAAGTTTGCATGAAGCTATCTTGAAGATCAAGCATCTATGGAAAGAAAGGAGTACACCAAGTGAAACAAGAAGATAATTAGAAGGTTGTACGGATGAGATGGTAGAAGCTTGAAATACTATGTGCAAAGTCACAGGTTCAAATCTCACATCCCACATATTTTAAAGAAGCCAAGTTTAATTCCATCAGTTAAAGTATGAGGCGATGGTTTGGCGGAAGGGAAGCAATTTGCAAAGTCAAAGAGGATGAGATTTACAAGTGAAGGGATGAAGTTTAAATTAGTAGGGATTGAAATAAGGATGCAATTTCATCTGAAGGGGCGAAATTGAAGTTCAAATTGATATCTTGAAGGGAAGGTAATTTCAATTTGGAGATATAAATTAAAAGGGATGAAGGTTTCAATTCAATTGGAGATATAAATTAAAAGGGATGACAAGTAAGGGATGAGATTTCAATTGACAAATCTAGCAAGGGATAGAGATTTCATTTCCCAAAATAGCAGTCAATTGAAGAGGACGTGAAGTACTCTGAAGTACAGAGGAAAATATAAGAAGAAGTTGCAGAAGCAAAAATAGAGCAAAAATACTAGTCTAACTAGTAAGGGAAGCAAAAATACTAGTCTAACTAACTAGTAAGGAGGGAAGCAAAAATACTAGTCTAACTAGTAAGGGAAAAATAGAGCAAAAATACTAGTCTAACTAGTAAGGGAAGCAAAAATACTAGTCTAACTAACTAGTAAGGAGGGAAGCAAAAATACTAGTCTAACTAGTAAGGGATTATATTGGAGATGGAAAATATAAGAAACTAGTCTAACTAGTAAGGGAAGCAAAAATACTAGTCTAACTAACTAGTAAGGAGGGAAGCAAAAATACTAGTCTAACTAGTAAGGGATTATATTGGAGATGGAAAATATAAGAAGAAGTTGCAGAAGCAAAAATACTAGTCTAACTAGTAAGGGATTATATTGGAGATAGTACTCTGAAGTACAGAGGAAAATATAAGAAGAAGTTGCAGAAGCAAAAATACTAGTCTAACTAGTAAGGGATTATATTAGAGATTATATTTTGAAGATAAAAATCCCAAGAGGCGTGATCTACACTTGATGGAGATTCATGGGACGCCATTTTTGCGAAAACCTTAAGCTCAACTTGCAGAGAAATCTCTGACATATCTGCAACGTTATCTTATCCTCTGACAAAAGGCTATACAGCTGGATGAAATTCAAAAATGAGAACGTTTCTCTCCAACGGAAATATTCTCATTACCAGCTATAAATAGATGAAGATTGAAGCTGAGGAAAGCAGAAGCAAGAATACAAAGAGCAAAGAACAGAGCTAAACAAACCATAGAAAAATCAAAGAAAGCTTTCCATCTCAAGAGCTAATATTGATATATTCTTTGTGAGAAAAACACTCAGAGTGATACAGAGCTTAGAAAAGAAATATCCAAGAGTGTTAAAATCTTTATCAACTTCAAGAGACTCAGCGCACCATTGAAGATCATCTACAGAGTCTCAAAGTTGGAATCAAGGCAAAACTTGTTTTTGAGCAAAACAAGGGAAATGAGGAAAGTAACACGGAGTTGTGAAATCCTGGATTGTCACACGGAGCTGTGAGATCCGAAGCAGCAGTGTCGGAGGACATTGGGCGTGATTAGTGCGGGCTTTGTGATCAAAGCACTAGATCACGGAAGATACGTTTCTACCGGATCGTAGAAGACGGGGGGAAAGTAACGCGGAGTCGTGAAATCCTGGGAGAGTAACGCGGCGACGTGAAACCCGAAGCAGCAGTGTTGGTGTCACTGGGCATGATTAGTGTGGGCTTGGTGATCAAAGCACTAGATCACGGAATTCATTGTATCTTGGAACCAAGAAGTGGTGGATATAGTGAATTAGCTCTTGGAGAAAAGAGCAAGTGGAGTAGGAGGATTACACCACCTCGCGAACCACTATAAATTGCCTTGTGTTCTTTACTGCTTTCTTTATTTACTGCTCTTGCTTGCTTCTCACGAGAATAATCTTGACACGATATACACACACACCGTATCGTTTATTAATTTTTGCTGTGCACCATACTCTAAGAATCTAGTTAAGAGTTTTGGTTTATCTCTGGCTTAGCAATTGTGGTATTGTGCTAAAAAGTTTGAAAGTCTATTCACCCCCCCCCCTCTAGACTTTCACCTTACCTCTTTTGGGACCAACATAAACATTGCATAAAAAATGCATCTAAAATTTTATTTAAAAAGTGACACACATTGTGCACATTTAGACGCAAAATCATCTACCAAACTTTTGATATCAACTTCTTCTAAAAGCTCATTTTCAATGGAGACTAAAGCTAATCCGTTGAGTCTCTCTTGCAACATACTTGATCGTAAGTAATATTTCAACAATTTCAACTTTGAAAAACTCCTTTCTGCAGAGGCAACAGTAATTAGGATAGTCAATAATATTCGATATACAATAGAAGCATTTGGAAAATAACCCATCTTTTTCGATCAATGAATTCTTTTTTTTTTTTTTGAATGTTACTGGTTCTATTACATTGTAGTATCTGTTCATATACTTTCTGAGGTGGCTCGAACTCACAACCTTCCAAGTGGAAGTCCAACTCGGATACCATTAGACCACATAGTCCTGGTGATCAATGAATTCAATATACTCACTGCCCCTATATTTTTATTTCCTCAATATCACCACACTGATCATCTCTCTTAAGAGCTGTTTCTAAACAAGTGCAATAAGACTTCAAATTGATATCAGTCATCGATTGTAACTTGTCAGAACTAAACAAAAAATCAAAAGTTCCTTCATATACTTCATATTGCTCAAACCTCTAGGTCAATGAAATAATAGTTTGATCTACAATGTATAAAAAATAATGAACCCTAAAAAATTCTTCGGGTGATAATGAAGTGTCATCAACACTCTCATCAAATTGTCCTTTTCTACGAATTTTTCGCTTTTGAGGAAACACTGGCTCAATTTCTAATTCATTAGCAATTTCCTTTGCACTATCAATGGCACTAGAAAAACCATTTTCTCTATGATTCCTGAAGAAAGAAACTAACCCTTTATTAGTTGAGTTGCGCTCTGCGATCAAGAAGAATTGAAGAATTAGTTGAGCTGTGCATTGCGATCTGTCGAATTGCCAATTGCGAATTGCCCAATTTATTAGGGTACTGGTACATAGTTTATAGGATTTCGAATTGCCAAATTGCGGAATTGGAAATATCTTTAATTCCTTATACTTTGAACATGCTATTGCCTAATTGAGATTTGAGAATTTGTTAATTGAGATTTTGGATTAGGAAATTTAATTGCCGAATTGTAGCTTTGGTAATGTCCTTATAGTCTGACCTAATTGTCCTTATATATATAGATACTTTTTTTTTAGGTTTTTAAAGCAATCTGGGCTCAATTTTCTTTTTATAAAATAAATACTATTATTACTATATACATATAGTTTTATTTTTAAAATATGGGGCCCCCAAAAATTGGGGACCCTGTGCGGTCGCTCATATTAGACATGCTCAGAACCGGCCATAGTTACAAATAAAAATCCAATTAGAATTCCCACTTTTGATATTTTAAAATTCTTAAACCAAATAAATGTTGTAAAGATCAAACCATAGACCACTACACATTACATTTAAATAATGAATTTACCATCTAAGCCAATACAACCTTTGATTAATATTTGGTATATTTAATATATATACTATATAATGTTGTCCCCATTGTGGCTCCGTCACTGATCATAGTATAATTATGAGGGAGAATAATGATCTTATTTTCTATAAATATTGATTTTCTCTTCTATGATGGAGAACACAATATCTTCTATGGCAATACATCTTTATTATTCTTACATTTGTGAAGCTCCTTTGACTTTGTTTTGCAATCTAATCTCTATAAATATTAAACTAGTTCTCGAATTTATATCTATCTTATTATGAGAAATGTTTTTTAAATTTAGTAATTAAGACACTAGGTGTTACAAATGCACCTATTAATCATCCTACAAAAAATTATGTCACAAAATAGTCACTTTGGTATGACCAAAATAGTCATTTACAAAACACCAATAGTCACCTTAAAAGATATTTTAAAAATACATTTGCAATATCTTATTTTTAAGAGTTCAAATTACATTATGTTAATTTTTCAAGAGCTAAATATATTTTTTTTTTATGTAAAATGATATAATTATATGTTATCATATATGAAAAATAATACAACGTACCTACCATATCTTATAACTCCTAATAAATTTTGTTATGTTAAAAAAAAAGAGTAATGCGTTTAAATGAATTTTCTAGTAATATTCCACATGGAAAGTGTAAAATTCACAAATCAATGGCTTGTTCTTGTAGCTCAGTTTGTTAGAGAGTAAGGTGGGTGTCTTGAATTCAACTTTCAACAAGAGTAAATTTTAATACGAGTTTAAAACAATAATACGAATATGTAATAAAATTAAAATTTGAAAAGTATAAATTATAATTTATAGAAATAAAATAATTTTTAAAATTATTATTTTAAATATTTTAATAGAATGCCAACTATCATGTAGTGTGATGGCATTTCAGTTACCATTTCAAATGGAGGCTCATAAGTTTGAGCCTCGATGGTGGGAGCTTAGATTCTTTGGGCTGAAAATGTTTGAGAAAATATAAAATTGTTGAGAATTCAAGTATGGAATGAGACAATGAAGAATGTGTAAACTGGAATAGAGAAAACTGAATGCATTGAATTCGTGTACTGAAGATTACAAAAACTAACTCAACTCTTCCCAGAAGGAAGAAGCAAAGCTTATATCCACTGTTACACATTAACTACCAAAAGTAGTTAGAAGATGAGAAATTACAAGAAAGCCCTTGGCAGTTTTGCTTAACAGAAAAGAAGACTTTGATGTCTATTTTATCACCCCCCCGTAAGTTGGAGCATGAATATCTTGAAGGCCCAGCTTAGAGTGGAAAGCATCAAACAGCAGCCTTGGTAGTCCTTTTGTGAAGCCATCAGCTACCTGTTTTTGTGTGGATATAGACATAAGCTTTATCACCTTCTCATGAACCTTTTGCTTGACAACATGGCAGTCTATCTCAATATGTTTGGTCCTCTCATGGAAGACATGATTTTCCCCTATTGCTATTGCAGATTGGCTGTCACAGAAAAGGGTAGTGGGACTGTTTGGCTTAGCTTTTAGATCATCTAACAAGTATAGGAGCCATTGTATTTCACACACTGTGGATGCTAGAGCTCTATACTCAGCTTCAGATGATGATCTTGACACAGTGGCCTGCTTCTTAGTCTTCCATGAGATTAATGACTGCCCAAGATAAATGCAAAATCCAGTTATAGACTTTCTAGAGTCTGCACAGGTGGCCCAATCTGAATCAGAGAACCCCTGTAGTTTGGTAGCAGAATCAGCTGGGTAGAATAATCCCTTCCCTGGGGATCCTTTTAGGTATCTAAGTACCCTATGAGCAGCCATAAGATGAGTATCCCTAGGCTTATCAACAAATTGGCTCAGTTTTTGTACAGCATAAGTGATATCTGGCCTTGTGTTTGTTAGGTATAATAGTTTACCAACCAGTCTTCTATAAACTTCTGGTTTATCAAGGAGATTTCCCTCAAAGTTGCTGAGCTTTTGTCCTGCACTGATGGGAGTATAAACTGGCTTGGCCCCTGGAAACCATTCTCTTTCAAGATTTCCAAAGTGTATTTTCTATGGCATAGGTTGAGACCATTATCTGTTCTGAAAGCTTCAAGCCCCAAGAAGTAGTTTATATGACCAAGATCTTTTATCTTAAAAGTCTTGTCCAGAAACTCTTTTAAGCTGTGTATCTGCTGGGAATCAGAACCTGCAACTAGAATATCATCAACATAGATTAAGAGAGCCATGAAAGACTTGTCTGAGACTTTGGTGAATAAGGATGGGTCAGCTGCTGATTGTTTAAATCCATTGTCTTGCAAGGCTGTTGTTAGCTTGGCATTCCACTGTCTACTAGCCTGCTTTAGGCCATAAAGAGACATCAACAACCTGCAAACTTTGTTCTTGTTCTCAGTTTGATATCCAGGGGGTGGAACCATATAGACTTCCTCTTCAAGATCCCCATGTAAGAATGCATTATTTATATCTAACTGCCAAGGTTGCAGTAGGCGCTAGGCGCTAGTCGGGCGGTCGGGCAGCGCCTAGCGCCTAGGCGGTCTAGGCGGCGCCTAGGCGGATTCTAGGCGGGGCTAGGCGGGCACCAAAAAAATTAAAAAAAATAGTGACAGACTTGTAGTTCGACAATTATAATGAGGTTGTTTTCAACGTTCACTCAAATAACACATCTAAATAAATGAAATAATGATAATTTATAAGTCATAATGTCATAATAATATTAAAATCAATAATTAATGAAAGACGACATCGGTCAAAATCAGTCAAAATCAGACAAAATCGGTCAAAATTGGTCAAAAACGGTCAAAATCGGACGAAATCGGTCGACTCGGCCGAGTTGGCCGAGTTGACCGACTCGGCCGAGTTTGACCGCCTAGGCCGCCTAGCGGCCGCCCAGGCCGCCTAGGCGGCCGCCTAGGCGGCCGACCGAGTTTTGGCCGCCTATAGGCCAAAACTCCAAGGTAAGTGGCCGCCTAGCGCCTAGGCGGGCGCCTAGGCGGCTAGGCGGCCGAGTTTTACATCACTGCTAACTGCTGAATTTCCCACCCTCTTGCAATAGCCACAGCTAGGAATGTTCTAATGGTAGTCATCCTTGCCACAGGGGAGGATGTGTCAATGTAATCCACCCCTAGTTGTTGGGTATACCCTTTAGCCACCAATCTAGCTTTGTACCTTTCCACAGAGCCATCTGCTTTATGCTTCACCTTGTATACCCACTTGCACCCAATAGGAGTTTTGCCTAAGGGTAAGTCTGTGAGAATCCAAGTGTTGTTTTCAATCAAAGCATCCATTTCCTTTTTCATTGCATTTCTCCATGATTCATGTTGGACTGCCTCCTTATATGACTGAGGTTCCTGTGATGAGAGAATAGAGGATGCACATAGTTTGTAGTTGAAGGGCAAGCAATCATATGATATGACTTTGTCAAGTGAATGACGGGTTGACATCTGTTTGTCTAGAATCATTGTCTGGCAATAATAGTCTTGCAGCTTTGTAGGTGCTTGCCTTACTCTTTATGATCTTCTTGGTTCTATCTGGCATCTGTCTATCTGTATTGGATCACTTGCTTCATCAGATTCACCCTCTGGAATGATACTGCTTAATGTGTCATCATCTGGTTCATGGGTTGGGGTGTCAAATAATCCCAAGCTTTCAGGCCTGATACTTTCAGTTCTTTCTGTAACTTGGTCATTAACTTCTCTCCTATCTATCAAAGGTGATGTACTGACCTCAGTAGAGATTGGTATTGAAGGCAACACAGGATTGAACAATGCCTTAGCTTCAGTTTTGCCCCCCTTTAGAGGAAAATTTTGTTCATAAAACTAAACATCCCTGGATATAAAGGTGCACCTGTCAACAAGATCAAACAATATATATCCTTTTGTGTTAGCAGGAATTCCCAGAAATATGCATTTCTTGGCCCTTGGTTCCATCTTATTTCTTCCTTGGGGAATGGTGGATGCAAAACATAAGCAACCAAAGGCTCTGAGGTGTTGATAGTCTACATCTTTTTCAAACAGAACTTCATAGGGGATCTTCTCATCAGATCTTGCAGGAGGCAGCCTGTTAATAAGGTAAGATGCATGCATAACACAATAATTCCAAAATTCTATAGGCAAGTCAGCTTGAAATCTTAGGGCCCTGGCCACATTTAAAATGTGTTGGTGCTTTCTTTCTGCAATCCCATTCTGTTGGGGAGTGTAAACACAAGATTTTTGGTGTACTTTTCCTTTATCATTCAGAAAGTTACTCATTAGGAATTCAGTACCATTATCTGTTCTTATGGCCTTAATTTTTGTAGAAAATTGTGTCTCAACCTGCTTATAGAAGCTTTGAAATAGGCTCTTAACTTCAGACTTACTTCTCATCAAATGAAGCCATGTGAATCTACTGTGGTCATCCACTATAGTCAAGAAATAGTGTTCTCCTGTTGTGGATGCCACAGGAAAGGGACCCCAGACATCCATATGCAAAAGATCAAAGCACTTTTCAGCTCTGGAGGTACTGTTAGGGAAAGGGGACCTTTTGTGCTTTGCAAAATGACAAGTATCACAAGGAATATTCAAATATTTTGACAACTAAACATCTTTTATTCCATTCAAAAATTGAATTCTATTCACAGGGTAGTGTCCTAGTCTACAATGCCATAGATCTAGGGACAAGCTATTACAATGGATGTTCTTATCAAGCTGAATGCTCTTTCCTTTTGCAGGAGGTTCACTGAGCAAATATAGGCCATTCCTTTCCTTAGCAAAACCAACCATCAATCCACTGGGAGCCTGAACCTTGCAAGAATCAGCACTTAAAATCACTTCACAGTGCCCTTGTCTAGTGAGCTTGCTAACAGATATAATGTTGAATGTAAAGGAGGGGATATATAACACATTACTCAGCAGCATATTAAGATGTAATCTGACTTCCCCTATATGTGTCACACTAACAGTCTCACCATTGGGCAGTTTTACAGATAATCCATGAACCCTTTGACAATTCTCAAAATAGTCTAGGGAGCAAGTGATGTGATCAGTTGCTCCTGAGTCTAATATCCAAGTATCATTAGAAGAAATAGCATTGATAGTATGGAGGTTGGAAATAAACCTGCCTTCATTGGAATTTGGCTTCAATCCCTGGCTATTGGTTGTGACTGCACTTGTGGAAGGTTGATTCTTAGGATTCTGGGAATGTAGAAGAGCTATCAGCCTTTGAAACTGCTCTGCAGTCATGCCTATATCCCCAACTTGATTTATGGAGGCATTCTGAGCTTCTTGGCCTTGTTTGTTCTTGGATTTGTATCCAGCTACCCATCCAGGGGGGTAGCCATGCTTTTTATAGCACTTTTCCACCGTGTGTCCATTCATATTACAAAAGGTACACCTAGGTACATTCTTGCCACCAAAATTTTTGAGCTTCTTCTTGTTGGTATTAGAAGATGAGAAAGCCACAGTGCTCCCTTCTCCAAACATCCCTTCTGTAAGCTGTGGTTGACTGTTTTGTATGGCATTGGATTGAATCACCTCAACAGGTTTCTGGTGATTAGCAAATCCATTGATCTTCCTCTCTATTTTCAAGGCCATGCTAAGAACCTTCTCCATCAAGGATTCCCGACTTTATAGTCTCGAATTCATCATTCAACCCTTATAAGAATCTAATCACTCGATCATCTTCTTTCTCTTTCTGAATTTTACTAAGCAGAGTGCAGGAACATCTAGGGTTGCACTCACAATTTGGCAGAGGTCTCATTGCGTTCAGCTGTTCCCACAGAGCATTACACTTGGTAAAGTATTCATTGATAGTTTTGTTACCTTGTGTGTTTCTGAATATCTCGTTCTGGATTTCAGCTATCTTGTGAGGATCTGTTTGTAAGTACCTCTCCTTGAGCTTATTCCAGATGTCCTGAGCCTTCTCGCAATAGAGTACACTCTCTGCAATGGTGGAATTTAGGGATTTCAGAATCCACGAACACACTATGTTGTTGCATCTCCTCCACACAGTATATCTGGCATCGAGATGGCTTGGACAAGGAATTAAACCGTCAACGAGGCCGAATTTGTTCTTCACCTCAAGAGCTATCTTCATGGACCTGCTCCACGATGAGTAATTGAGCTCTGTCAGAGGAGGAGAAACCAAGACCAGATTCGGATTCTTGGTTATGTGAAGATAGAGGGGGTCGTCGAATTCATCGTTTCGACCATTAGGGTTCGAATTCGTGGCATTCAGATGAGCGAATGAGGCATTCTCGTCTCCGGCTGGATTTCCGGCTGAAGTTCCTTCGCCGGAAGCTATGTTCGTCGTTACCGCTGCGACGTAACTCCGGTAGAGCTCTGATACCATGTTGAGAATTCAAGTATGGAATGAGACAATGAAGAATGTGTAAACTGGAAAAGAGAAAACTGAATGCATTGAATTCGTGTACTGAAGATTACAAAAACTAACTCAACTCTTCCCAGAAGGAAGAAGCAAAGCTTATATCCACTGTTACACATTAACTACCAAAAGTAGTTAGAAGATGAGAAATTACAAGAAAGCCCTTGGCAGTTTTGCTTAACAGAAAAGAAGACTTTGATGTCTATTTTATCAAAAATAGATACTACCTTGTAAAGAATCATAAGTATTTAAAAAAAAATATTTTAATAGAATAAAGTGTGTTGGGTTGGACTCATATCTAATCTAACTAACTTATAAGAGTCAATGCAAGTTATACTCCTGAATTATGTCCATATTCATTGTAAAGTTGTGCATCATGTTAAAAATGAAAAATTATTGCGTGGACTGTGGTCCACACAGCTGTATGGACCACGTCCAAAACAACGTTGTTAATTTTATGAGTAGCTGTATGGACCACATCCAAAACAACGTTGTTAATTTTATGAGTATGACCTTTGGGTAGTCAACGACTGACCAATATTACTCCAACTACTTCCCCAAATAGGATCATGTCGTCCGCAGAAAACAGATGTGTTAGGCATGACCCCTCTCTAATGATCCTTATACCTTTCAATCTGTTGGTTAACTTCATCTCCTCAATAATGTGACTCAAGCGTTCAACGCATAGGACGAAGACAAGGGGAGATATTGGATCTCCTTGGTGGATGCCTTGGCTGGGTTTGAACCACGGTGATGTTCTTCCGTTCAAGGAAACAGCTAGTCTTGATGTCGAAATGCATGCCATAGCGATCTCTGTCCATTTGTGGTTGAAACCTATATCATGGAAGATTAATCGGATGAAGCTTCACGACAGCCTATCATAGGCCTTCTCCAAATCAATTTTTAGCAACATTCATAAGGTTGCTCGCTTTTTCATTTTCATGGATTTGATAACCTCTTGATATGTTAGTATATTGTCTGTAGTTTGCCTCCCGGGAACAAAACTGGATTGGTGATGCCCAACTAGACGCCTCATAACTGTTTTCAATCTGGATGCCAGAGTCTTCGAAATCACCTTGTATAAGACATTGCAAAGCTAGATAGGACGGAGTTGCTTGACCAATTCTGGGTTAGGAACCTTTGGAATAAGGGTTAGGAGAGTATCATTAATTACACCCTTTAGGTATGCTGCCAGATTCAAGAGCCTTTAAAACAAAATCTGTTACGTTATCTCCTACTACCGACCATGTATGTTGATAGAATCCGGCATGGTATCCGTCTGGGCCGGGGGATTTGAAGGGTGACATATCAAACACAACTTGTTCAAATACTTTTCAAAATATTTTTTAAATAAGGTGGCTATGAAGGTATTCTAAATTAAATGACTATTTTGGCCCGATTGTAATAACTATTTTTTGACATGAGGGGAATAGCATCTTTGGATGATTGTTAATTAATAGGTATATTTTTAACACCTAGTGTTTTTATAACTGAATTTAAAAATCACTATTATTTTACGGACATCAAGTTACCTAACTAGATTATCTCATACTAAGATAAATTCGAGAACTAGTTTAAAATATAGAGATTGGATCACAAAACAAAACGAAAAGAGAGTCACAAGTGTAAGGATAATAAATATTAATTGCTATAGATCAGAGGATATTGCATGTTCCATCATGGAAGACAATATTATATTTGTAGAAGATAAGAACATAATTCAAGAGTTTAACTTGCATTAACTCTAATAAGTTAGTTAGTTACCAACTCTACCTAGCACGTCATTAAAATATTTCAAATAATGATTTTTAAAATTTCCACAAGTCTAACCACTGCAAAAAAAACTTCTGTAAACTGCAAAAAAATCTCTCTGCCTCTCTGCCCTCCCAAACCTTGCTTCTGGCCGTTCCTTCGTAGTGTGGCCGCCGACCACTGGCCGACTCTGTCCTTGGCCGGCTGTCTTATACTTTCGTAGTTCCTTTGTATTTTGTTTTTTAGTTTCACAACTTCCACCACCAGATCTAATCAAGAAGCCTCTCACCATTGTCAACGCTTATTTTTTAAACAAAAAGGGAAAAGAAGGCTTTGTATCAATGTTCTTTTCTTGAATCTAGGTAAAGAAGGCTTTGAGTTCTAAAAAAGGACAAGAAGTTCTGTGCTTTGATCAAGGACAAAAAGGCGTGGTGTTTTCTTGACAGAAGAAGGGATGGAGTTCTGTTTTTTATCTAAAGATCTATGTTTTTTACCTTTTCCATAAGTTATTTTGACAAGTTATTTCCTCCCGCTTCTTTGGCGAGTTATTTCATCTCGTTTCTTTGGTGAGTTCTTTTTTCATTAAGGTGAAACGATTTAATTGATCATGGCGTATGTTTATCTCATCCTGAGCAATGAAGAAGATCTGAACAATGATATATACAGTTCAGATTAATGAAGATATTGTCTATGGACAGAAGAGCTGCAATAGTTGCTCAGGTGGTATGCAAGACTTCACAAACAGAGTCAGTCTTGGATAGCCAGATAATTAACAACATCAAAGAAGCTTCTGGTTCCTCCAATGAATTCAACTTCAATCTTGTAATTCACATACGGTCGCCACCTCCGTGAAGCAAGCGGAGGCGGCGTCCGATCGTCTTCCCCTGCCACCATCTCCACCATAGAGAACGTCCGTCTTCAATGTCTTTGTCATCGCTACCGGTCATTACTCCTTTATTTTCGCACGGTTATTTCCCTTTGCTTTGTTTAACTATTTTAGTTTGTTTGCAATTTCTGTGTTTTTCCTCTCGTTATTTTGACGAGTTTATTCCTCCCGTTTACTTGGCGAGTTCTTTTTCCTAAAGCGTGAAACGATAAAAATGACCATGGTGTATGTGAATCTCATCCTGGGTAACAAACATGACAATGAAAATGAGACTTCTCTGAACTATGATATGTAGTTCAGCCAGATCGAGATGGTGATATTGTCAATGGATAGAAGAATAGAAATAGATACTCAGGTGGTGTGTAATATTATTCAAACAGAGTCAGTTTTGGGAACGTTTGACCAGATCATTAAAGAAGGATTAAGTTACTCCAATGAATTCAACTTCAAATTTGTGAAACAGTCTGCGAATCAAGTTTTCTGACTGTAAAGAATGTTTGACCATTATATTTCATCGATCCTTATTGTAAACGTTACAGCCTATGATTAATGAATTAGCTTCTTTATTTTCAAAAAAAAAATATTATTATTTTCAAAAAAAAAATAATTATTATGTTAATCTATGAATTGTTAATTATTTATTTCAAATTTCAAATTTAATTATCAAACTTTTATTTCATGACTTTGTTAAAAGAGCTCTTGTTGAGAGTTGAACTAAAGACCTCCCACTTACTAAACAATGCTCTAACCAACTGAGCTACAAGAGCTATTCACAAGTTTATGAATTTTCATCTTTTCAAATGTAATATTAATATTAATAGAATAAGTAATTTAAGCATTTTACTTTTTTATTTCACTTGAAAAAAAAAACACGTAGGAGTTATAAGACACTGTAACTAATTAGTATTATTTATCAAATACGTTAACATATAATTATATTTTTTTCTTGAAAAAAAACAAATGCAACTTTTGAGATAGTAAAATAATGTAATTTAATCTTTTAAAAATCAGATATTACAATGTGCTTTTTAAAATATCTTTTAATTAAGGTCTCTATCTTGGTATTCTAAATTAAATCACAATTTTGGCCATATTTTAGTAACTATTTTTTGACATGAGGGCAATAGCATATTTGGATGATGGTTAATAGGTGCATATTTAATACCTAGTGTCTTAATAACTAAATTTAGAAATCACTATTGTTTTAGGGAATACAAGTTACCGAACTAGATTATCTAATACTAAGTTAAATTCGAGAACTGGTCTAAAATATAGAGATTGGATCACAAAAAAAAGCCAAAAACGATTCACAAGTGTAAGAATAGTAAAGCTGTATTGCAATATATCAGAGGATATTGCATGTACCATCATGGAAGATATAATTCAAGAGTTTAACTGGCATTGACTCTCATTTAATTAGTTACGAATTCTATCTAGCACATTATAAAAAAATATTTCACATAATAATTTTTAAAATTCATGTAAATCTACTAGAAATAATTCACATTGTCTAATTCCAACCCTAATACTCTCTTGATTTCTGACTCCTCAAATTCACATACGGCCGCTGCCTCCGTGAAGTAAGCGAAGGCAGCGTCCAATCGTCTTCCCCTGCCGCCATCTCCACCGCAGACAACATTCATCGTCATTGTCTTTGTCATCGCTACCAACCGTTAATCCTTTATTTTCGCACAGTTATTTCCCTTTGCATTGTTTAACTGTGTTAGTTTGATTGCAATTTCTGTGTTTTTCCTCTTGTTATTTTGATGAGTTTATTCCTCTAGTTTACTTGGGGAGTTCTATTTCATAAAGCGTGAAGTGATAAAACTGGTCATGACGTATGTGAATCTCATCCTGGGTAACAAACATGACAATGAAAAAGAGACTTCTATGAACTATGATATGCAGTTCGGCCAGATCGAGATGGAGATATTGTCAATGGATAAAAGAATGAAAATAGATACTCAGGTGGTGTGTAGTACTATTCAAACAGAGTCAGTCTTGGGAACGTTTAACCATATCATTAAAGAAGCTTTAAGTTACTCCAAAGAATTCAACTTCAAATTTGTGAAACAGTCTGCGTCGAGTTTTCTATAGCATTGCTAGGGAAGTTGTTTCTATGTCTGAATGTAAGGAATGTTTGACCATTCCATCGATCCTTATTGTAAACGTTTCAGCCTATGATTAATGAATCAACTTCTTTATTTTCAACAAAAAAATTAATGTAAATATAAGAATTTTTAATTATTTATTTCAAATTTAATTATCAAACTTTTATTTTATGACTTTGTTACTAGTACTCTTATTGAGAGTTTAACTCAAGACCCCC